CCTCCCTGGCTCGACTCAACCTTTCCTCGAGCTCGGCAATCCTTTTCATGTTCTGCCCACGATCCACCTCCAGCCCTGCAACTCTGCGGGTTCGGACCTCAAGATCTCTTTTGAGCTCGACCTCATCCTTCAGAGACATACCTCGAGCCATGCTTATAACCTGCAAGCACGAGGATCTTCAAAAGCTATCAAAACTAAAGACTAAAGATCGAACACAATTACAATGCTTACCTTCAATGCCAAAGACTGAAGTGTCCTCACCCCGTCCCCGAGTTCCGAGCTTTTGAACTTTCCACAACATCGGGCAGAAGTCTGAAGCTCTCCTCCTCACCTCGAGGCATATCCTCGACAGCCACGATTACCGGAGTGCAGGGTTGGACTCGACGATCGGAGCTCGAGGCTACTGGCAAGAAGACTCCCCGCCCACTCCTGACCTCAGGTGCTCGTGGTCTCTTTTTCCCTTTCTTCTGCCCGGGAGCCCGAGACAGAGGATCTCTTGATTTCTGGCTTGTCGCCAGTCGAAGAGCCTAAGGATTGAAGGTCATATCGTCTGAAAAAAGAAAAACTAACAAGATATTACCGTGAGGACTGATCGAGATACAATAATTAAATAAAGATCGAGGCATTTTTTACCCTACCCTCCAAACCTTTCACATTCGCGAGGTCAAGGATGTCATCCTCGAGCATGTCATCAAGATCATAACATAGGGGCTCGAGATCTTCCAAACTCTGCCTATCTCTTTCTAAAATTCCAAAATAGGCCTGCCCCTCGTTAAATCGAGGGGTGTCTGGGACACTCCACGAGGTTGAATAAAAAAATATATTTACTTCTACCCTTTGAGGGAGCTCTGCATTTTGGGAATCTTAAACCTACCCATGTAGACGAAGCAATTATTGCCCGATAATGATTACAACTCGAACACCATCCTAAGGAGGTCGAGCCTGGGTTTGATATAAAGGAACCTACAAGCTATGAAAAAGTACATGATCATCCTCCATGCGTTAGGGACGAGCTGTCCTGGACACATGAAGTACTCGACCAGGAACTCTATAAAGAAAGGATGAAGAGGCCATCTAAACCCGGCTTTCAATGAATCCCTGAAAACCACCAACTCCCATACTAACTACACTGTCCTCGGGCCCGAGAGTTCTAATATTACACCCCGGCATGAGCCCAAACTCCCTAGCTATGGCTATTACCTCATGCTCTTTGTACCGACCTCTAAGGTCGGGGTAACTCAACTTAGGCCTGGTGTCTAAGGGAATTGCTAAATGAACTATAGAATGCCTAGAATCCTCGGGCGTTGAGCCCAACCCTGACGAACAGGGGCAGACACAGAACTTTAACGTTGGGGGAGGGGGGACAATCAAACTTACAAAGAAGTTGGTAGAAATTTTACAAT